CGAAAAAACATAAACATAAACGGAAACTGGTGGGTAAGGGCCACAACGATACTTAACAATAGCATAATTTGTTGTCTTTGTCTTTGGTTTGTACTTTTCGATGCTCTTACACTTTTATTGATAAGCTTTCGGCATATATTGCCTTCGTCAGACCTTCACAATATTAAAGGCACCATTCACAAAAAAGTTAGGGTACCCTTTTTTGACGGGAAATCGATAGAACTACTCTAGAATAAAGCGATAACAACGAAAAAAGCGCAAAACACGATGAACAAAAAGAATTACAAAGGGCCAAAAAAAAGAGCTGGAAAGGGGGTTGGACGAGTTTCACATTGAAAGAACGTCGGTTAGAGAGTGTTCGGGCAAATTGGCAGGTTTGGCAATTTGCCAATTTGCAGTTCAGGATGGGTCCTGACGCGATTACATGACATTGTGTCGTCTCGACACTGGTCTACGTGACATCGGAGGGGCGGAGATGCGAATTACGGCAACAACGGGCCCGCCATTATGCCCTGGACGTCGAAATTGCGGGAGTGAGGAGGACCCTTCTACAACCCATGGGGGCCGCTGAGTATTAATAAGGTGAGAACTCAATAACTTTTTTGTCGTGAACGGTGCCTTTAAGATACAACAAGGCTTCAGTACAAGAGCTGCGTCCATTTCCCTTGTAAGTTCCTGGGTCCATTCCCCTATTTCCTCATTTTCTGTTGACTTGGTATGTTGTGATGTGTTTTGTATTGTGATGGTTAACTGATTGTATGCAGCGTTATACTGTAAAAAAATTAAGGTCTGACGAAGGCGTTATATTTCAGAAGCTTACCAATAAAAGTAAAAAGGCAAGAACTTCAAAAAGTACAAACCAAGGCGACGGTACAACAAGGCTAGATGAAGCTCAGAGATAGCAACATTTTAAAATAGCATAATTATTAAACGTATTGGCACTTAACAGGGCGGAAGTGGTGTAGTGACATGTGGCGCACTATCTCACACGCAAGTGCCAGGGGTTAGAATCCCGGATCAGTGCCCGCCTAGGCCAATAAAGCCTTCCATCCCTCCGGGGTCGGTGAACTGGTACCAAACTCGTCTGGGAGGATAAGCACTGACTTGTACATCGCCTGGCCACCGCAATTCATTGTATAGGCTACATACGCACTCACTACGCCACTACGACTTTGAATGGAAGTCGAGTGCGGGGGCGCATCCCTCAGACGGATGATTAACACCAAAAACTCTATCCTTTATCCTAACTTTTTTGGCACTTGATTGTTTCAGAGAATGTGAACCATCTGATCATGGGTAAAATTATATGGATTCGAGTGATTGGGGAGAAATCGGGAGGAGATGCGGAGATGCCTCCAATAACTAATTGTGGGCTCTTGACCACCTACTTGAATAGTCTAGCTAATTACCTGGTGGACAGATTCATGAAGAGATAAGTCATCCCATCTTCAAACGCGAATTTTGCTTGATTGAAGTCGCTGTTATTCCGAAGTTCAACATGGGCTCGTGTAGAGCTAGATTCTTTTTCAATGCAATGCATGGTAAAAGAACAAAGACGTTCAGGAAACCAAGCCTCAAAATGTTTTTCAAGGGGGATCACTTCGCAGGAGAGCGTAGTGTCTGCAAAATCGATAAAGAATGTCTCCTTCGGAAACACTCAGGCTGATGAAAGAGCGACCAGTCTGGGTTTTTTTTCAGTTCTGTCTTTCGAACTTCTACAAGCCATCACGTCGATGAAGTTATACGATGTTCCTCCTAACAGAATTCAGCGGAACTCCTGAAAAACCTCCCACCAGTTATCGTCAAAACTCAACTTTTTACACGAAAGATATCTGAGATTGCTTACGCCCTGGAAAACTAGCAAGGCTGTGCTGATGTATGAAAAGGGAGATCCCGACGATATTGGCAACTACCGCCCAATCTGGTTGTACAACCGTCATGCCTAAGAGGACTGAGAGAATATTAGATGAAGAACAGCCATGCGAGCAAGCAGGGTTAAGGGGAGGGTCAGTACAATCGATCACATCCACACCGTCGCAAGACTAATTGAAGTATCGCAAGAGTACAACATGCTGTTAGGTCTCACGTTCATCGATTTGAAAAAGACCTTTGATACTGTCGAGACAGAAGCGGTAATCGAAGCCCTGGGCAACCAGGGTGTTCCTACTCAATTTAAACATGCTTCGTGAGCTCTTGAACGACTTCACGATCTCGCCTTTCCATAAAGAAGTCATCATCAACGTGAAGAAAGGAGCTTGAGTGGACGATACCGCTTCGTCCAAACTTTTCAGTGTCGCTCTGGAGAAAATCATGTTTCATACAGGAGTGAAGGCCGACGGCCGCTATTTACAATAAATCCGCTTTGCAGACGATATCGTGCTTATAATACCAAACAACGAGCAGGCAGAGCGGATACTGGCCGAGTGCGAAGATCGGCTTTGGATGAACTTAACGAAGACGATGGGTATAAGAAACAGATTCGTACCTGATGCTCCCCTTACGCTAAGCGAAACGAATATCTCTAAATACCCAGCTATGTGTGCCGATAATCTCCAGAACTGAGCGAAGGAAACGCGCGGCGTGGAGAGCATTTAAGAATATATAAGGAGTAATAGAGAAAACAAAGAACGTCCGGCTCCGCGACCATCTTCTCGACACTGCGATCCTTTTCCACAAGGCGTCATTGTGGAAAGGGTGACGCTCGAAGTTCCCTGACAGACGCAGTGCAGAAGGGAATCCTAAGGCCGAACCCAGTCGGGGAACAAAGGTTAGGGATCCGTTGCTCATCCAAAGAAGAGGAGAATTGGTGGGCCGGACACGTCATGCGATACCGCCATTACTGACTGGATCTCTAGTGACGTAAAACGAACATCAAGATAAGACTGGGCGGGGACGATCTCATCATCATAAGCATAATTCATTGTATAATACAACCATATATACATTAAACTGCAACTATGATCTAAACGGGAGTCCATGGCGGAGGCGCAACCCAAAAACGGGACTAACTAATGGCGAGGACTTCCTCCTTTGACTTTTATTTCCCTTCGACTGAACTTGGCTTTCTCGCGCGTATTTTTCTTCTACCCAAATGCCATAAAACCCTGGGTTCCGACAAAAATGTGATATCAGCTCCATTCCAAATCCATTGAATTGATATTCCATAAGCGCACCAGTCATTCCTTCTTTACTGTAGAGCTCCTCGAGCTGTCGGTGTTAGGTTTGATAGCACTTATTCATCACTAACTTGAACAAGGATAACCGTTTCACCTCCATAATAAGCTGATAAAGCTTTTTGCGAGCAATAAACTATCGCAGGGTAACAGGAAAGGCTGCTTTTATAGTCCGCCGGCCGGCTGCCGGCGGAAGCAGTGCTAGGGGGAGGAGGGAAGCAGACAGTCGACCAGCCCCTTCGAAGGGCTGTAAACAACGAGAGACAAGNCTTGTCTCTCGTTGTTTACAGCCCTTCGAAGGGGCTGGCCGACTGTCTGCCTCCCTCCTCCCCCCTAGTATTGCCTCCGCCGGCACGCCGGCGTGCCGGCCGGCGGACTATGAAAGCTGCTAAAGAGAAATACGTGGAACATATCCCATCCTAGTTATTATGATGGAGATACTCCTCTGGGGATTCTTCAGGAAGCTCAAAAAGTCGAATTACTTCCATCACTTAAGATGTGGTAGTGTGAATCTGAGGACTGCTCTACGTGAACTCCATGTTCGAGCTGCACACAAATAACCTACAACTCTACTGCACACAAGACATACATACGTTTCAAGAGCTCAAGATTCAGTGAAACCGAACTGCAGATAGAAAAAAAAGGCTCCTTTTGAACCGCAGCCACACCCACTCGATTCACAATTACTCTTTCCGGCGAAGATAGCAGAAATTGGTGAAGGGGTCTTTCCGGATATTACTCATGAACATTGGTTATCCTACGACAGCTTCTGATTTTCTAACAAATTTAGATGTCTCTACTACGAATACCATAACGTTTTCCACTGTAACAACATCAACAATTGGATATACAAATCCCACCTCCACTCCCATTATCACAAAAACTACAACCAGCGATGCCACCTCCACTCCAATTCCACCTTCCACCTCCACTACAACCGCTACTGCTGCACCCTCAACTACTACGACACAGTGACCAACGACCACTACTACAGCATTGGCCAACACGACAACTACTACAACAGGCTGCTGTGTCGAAACATAAAAGAAAACTGCGGGTCATACTTAACAGCCCACTTGATGATTCAGTGACACGTAGTTTGAAAATAGAAGCTATGGAGGATGGGAGGAACGCTAGCCACCCTTCTGCATGGAGCATATGCTTTCGGGTGGCATAGGGCGGTTCCGGTATACATAGACTTGTAGCTCCTCCTCTTCTCTAAAAGGGATCAAGTCTTGAGGCGTTGATCAATCCTGTCAGAAGGATGCGCTCACGCATTCGACTCCCATTTAGTCACAGTAGCGTATTGTATGCGTGTGCGGCCTATACAATGACTTGCAGTGGCCATAGGATATACACGTCAGTGATTTTGTACTCAACGACGAGCCTGGCATCAACTAACCAACCCTGGAGGAATGGAAGGGCTGGTTGGCTTAAGCATATACCGACCCAGGATACGAACCACTGACCATGCGTGTGTGAAGTGCGCCGCTTGCCACTACACCACCTCGACCATCTCCTCTTTTTTTGTAGAAAAAAAATTGAAAAAATTGTCCAGGCCACTAATCCACTCATTTCAGGACCTACTACGCTATATAAAATTAGAGCTCAATTGAAAAGGATTAGGTCCGATTTTAGAGCTTACTCACTCGGAAAGGGTTATAGAGGGGAGTAAAAACAAATATAGAATTAATGAGCGCATGTTGTTGTAGTAACATAAAATATTTGCCAAATAAGCTGTACTCGGTGAACAAACCAGAAACTGTGCAGTCATTTAGAAACCGATGATGAGATACTTGGTGAGTTCCACGTTTTCATTATCACAGAATGAAACAAAAGTTTCGGGTTTCCTACAAGTTACTAACAACACCCACAAGTTTCTGATATTGGTCACCTTTTTGTGCTTGTACAAGAACTTAAACTATAACTGTACAGTAACTGTACAAGAGTTAAGAACCGATTAACCTAAAAAGCTTGGAAAACCATCAATCAATTAGCGATCACAAACCATTCATTTCAAAGAGTTCACCATAGGAAGTTGCTTCATTTATTGAGGGAATTCTACTACAAAATAAAACGATACTATTACAGCCCCCACCACAACCCGTCCTCCCGAGCCAAAGATCAACCCTGGCTGTGAATGCAATCTGAAGACTGTATGGCTCGATGTTTTCCTTCTCATGGATGCGAGTATTATGATGGGTCAAAATGGAATATCTTCGGTGGGTTGGAACTGAGCGTTCTGATCTATATCAAGTAGTGTCACGCTGCAACAAGAAAAAAAAGTTGCTACAGAATGACTTCTTCTATTGTACAAAAGTTAATATATAATTTTGTGCAACTCTCTGCCTGAGTAGTTCATACTTCACACAATTACCAGTGTGAGATGCTATGAAATTTAAGTTTCTAGTTAAATTTAATACCAATTTTAGGCAACGGACTACATAAAAACAGCTTTTGCAAAACTGACCGTGGGCCAGGCAGAAGAGTTCCAAACTCGATTAGGAGTCATTCGTTATGCTAGTAGTGTCGAACTGGTCGCCGACCTCAATAACTACACTTCAACGGAAGACCTCGATGATCTGGAAATTTCAACGCTGAACGAAACTGGTTTCAACCTTGATGGGTAAGTGAATAGCCTCTAGAAAGGCAATGCCAGCAGAGTAGAAACCTGTATAATGTAAATTAAGGCTTATCGCGTACATCCATATCTTGATAAGTCAGCGCGAAAACATCACGGTACGCAGTAGGTTAATAAATTCTATAGTGGATTGAATAAGACAATGTAAAGCACATAGTTCATGAGGAGAGCCGGCCGAACTGTGAGGAACAGCCTTCGCTTCAGATACAAGAAAAAAGACTTACCAAGGAGGGGTGGTCTACTTACCGTGGGACTTTGAATGGGGACCCACATAAATCGATAGAGTTCTGAACGCTATTTACGAAAATGGAAATTACAACTGCTAAATGGTTTTTCTTAAAAAGTTATGGGGGTTGGAAATTTGTTTGACAGTAGTATTATTTGGATATGCGAACTCGTCGCCTTGGTATGAAGTGCCGGCGTGGCATAGTGGTAGTGGTCTCGCTTCATAGACGTGCAATGCGGGTTTGCTTCTCGCTGTCGTCGACGTTTTTGCAAAGTGTTTTTTCATTTCATTGAAGATTATCTAAACCTTTTCTGACGCTTGCTCAGGTGAACACCTTATTTCTGCTTATTTTCACTCGTCACCCCTGTCCAGTTAAAGTGATTCTGCACGACAATTGTACGACTCTGTTTTATTTAAACTCCAAAAGGCATGCATTAAAAAGACACTAGAGATAAGTTAGATGTCAGCAAGAAACAACATTGATGGAAAACTTTTGAAAATGTGTGAAGCAAACATGTTCTTCGCAGATTGCGCATCTTATACTGCTGATCCTCTAGATCCGTGAACAAAGCAGTCAATCGTCTCAAGACTGAACAAATACTCGGCCGGTGTAATGCAGGAACTTGGGCATTCATCAACATACATACCCAGCTCTGTACCAAAAACATTTTAGAAATAGAAAAACGTGGTGCACAAAACATTCGGCATACATGGGATAGAACCTTAAGTATAAATTATCCCTCTGCGTCATATTGAGCAGCATGTGTGCTTCACGAAATGAAAAAAAAACACTTAGCAAAAACTTCGACGACAGCGAGAAGCAAACCCGCACCGCACGCCTATGAAGCGAGACCACTACCACTGTGCCACGTCGGCACTTGGTACCGATGCGACCAGTTCACATATCCAAATAATACTACTGTCAAGCAAATTTCCAGCCTCCACAACTTTTTAAGGAAAACCATTTAGCAGTTTCATTTTCCATTTTCGTAAATAGCATTCAGAGCTCTATCGATTTATCTGGGTCTCCACTCAAAGTCCCACGGTAAGCAGACTACCCCTCCCTGGTTAGTTCTCAAGATTGGACCTAATGGAGTACGTCCTTGCATTCGTTTTTACTCCCTATACTGCCGAGCCTCACTTATTTGGCCTAAACAACAACTAGTTATTACCAGTGCACAGTGCACACACAATCCAATGTCTTCATTTTCCCAGACTGGTTCTATAACAAAAAAAGCGACACAGGAGGCATGAGACAGCCTGTCTCAAGAAGGAGTCAGTTAAGGATTTGATTTCGTGGTATCGGCTCCACATGCATTACCTTCTTTTCTTGTTCTAGTCAAAATGTGGCACATAAAACTGTTCAGAATTCACCCATACCACATCTGAGAAATGAGAAGTGGGAAGGCAAGTCACGCATTCCATGAACCAAAAACAACTGAAAAACAATTGAGGGCTGTTGAGTTCAGCACTTAATAAACCTTTAGATGGTATGCTTTATCGTTCGTCGTAGTTCTGCCAATTGAATGAAAAGTGAAAGCAGTGGTTCAGGAGAACGCATGGTTTTTGAACATGACCACAGAAAATAAAAAAGCAACGACCCGTTACGCAAAACCAGCGTTATGGGGACTGAAGGAATTATTGTACACGTAAGAACCCAAGATTTCTACGATTCCCAACTTTAAGCACCGATCATAATGACCCTTTGCTAAGTTGAAGGCACAGTTCACGGTAATTTTGGAGTTAAGACGAAAAATGGAAGTGATGGTCCAGAATAGTGAAAAAAGGCGAAGAAAACGCAAACATTGCAGTATTTAGAAAATTAGGGCTTGAAAATGTAGTAAAGTTAGGAAGTGGACGAGAATGCGACAAAAAAAAGTTGCATGGGAACGATATTATGATGGGCTGTTCAAATGTGCGCCACTGCAAACAGCTGAATACAGTAAGCTGCCTGCATACAATGCAACCTCTAAACTATTACACGCCCTGAGAACTCGTCCTTCTTGGGAATGTATGTTGGCCAAGCCGATTAGGGAGTCCTTATCATGCCTTGTCTATATAGGCTCGATCCGATAGCGTTTCTCGTGTTGTCTTTAAGGACTCAAGTCATCATCAGGGCAAAAGTCCAGAAACTTTTTTTTTATCGTGAATTACTCCTTTGATGGTATGTATATTGCTATCTAAATTAATCGCAATCGAAGCATAGCAGAGCAGAATGATACTTAAGCAATCAGCTATTCATTTCAAGTGACTGCTACAATTTCTAGGGCAATCCGCTTGGCAAGAGCGAGATTCGCATCTCAACACCACCGTCGTGCAGCTCGCAAGGTTATCATCATCGCCGGAAGTAATTACAGGTATGTTTTTGGAAGCTTGGTATTTCATAGATAATATTTGTTTGATGAAAGACATTGTTGAGCAGTCTTAAAAACCCTGACTCCATGTCACACCTAGACTGTTTAGTGTTTCTTACTGCCTTATCTAGTTCTGTTCTTCAAGCCAAGAAAATTTTGCTAAAACTTTTATACGCACATGATTTCAAGAGAGACAGTGTATGAAGATCCATCGAACGTTGCCAAACAATTCCGTTCCGAAGGAGGAATAATTATAACAATTGGTAAGTAACAAACATACTATTCCATTTTACCTTGCTCAGCCTCAAAGTATACCTGAACTTCAATAGCTAGGACTGTCAAGAAGACATCTACACGGGATTTGCTTTGGCTTCCCATAGTTAACTTGCAAAAGAGATGAAAGATTTCAGTGAAACACTTTTATTGGAAATTCATGCTTCCTCTCTTGTTCTTCTCACTCTCAGGCCCACTGATTCACTGCTATATTTCACTCCCCGTTTTCAAGACTTATTACATTCCGAAAGTTTTTCTTCCCAGTAAAAAATTCTGCAGTCTACAGTGAAGTGTTACAGAGTATCTACAAGGAAAGGAAAAGAGTATACCGATTTACAAGAAGTTGGCTTCGCCAAATTATAGACTGATTACCTACGTAGACCGTAAACAATTAAGAGCACAAGAGTTACGCCAACTTCTTTGCAAAGGTGAGGTCCAGAACTCCTTTTATTCACTGCACCTCCGATTGCTCATTGAGTAGTCCCCACTTTTCCGTTGTAAACACGGTGTAACATCAGAACATTGAAAAAACATATTTTCTATGGGCGATACCTAGTCATGACCATTTGATCCACGCACATACATATGCACCTTTAGTTAAAACTTGGAGAACAAGCTTAGCCATAACCTCCCACTCTCTGTTCCAAACTGTTTGGCGAGGGGGTTGAGTCAGATACATGGACCGCCCTTTGCTTAACACAAAACGATGTTGTAGTATTTTGAATGGAATTCAAAACTATGAGATTTCAACTCCCTTACAGTGTTGAGAGATAGGATTATGAAGTATGGACATATTCTCTTCTATCCACTAAACATTTCAGCGAATTGCTTCTGCAAAAGGAGATGGGTACCGTACACCATTGACCAATGGGACGCACCTGAGGGAGGATGCTACCTTCCCGTGAAGATTTCCTCAACTCAGGTCCGCTTTTTCAAAATGATTCAAATTCAGTTGTTGCATATCAGTGACACTTGTATCATAGTGTTGGAGGCACGCACAATTTTAAACATCCAAGGCTTGCTTGACTCATTCTTAAAAAAATTTCTGCCCCTTGATAGAATCCAGTCAGACCCCTTTCATATGAAGATAGTCTACCGAACATTATTTCTAAGAATTAAGAATGCACAACGACATTTTGCCCATAAACGGGTCAGAACGGGACGAAACTTTATTTAAGAGTCCATAGTGTTGAGCTACAAACTGCTTTCTAAAGTTGTGGAACGATTTTGTTCGGTGGAGCGATGCAGTCCATAGCTCAGGCCTAACCAAATGACTGCAAACACACTGCGCTGAGAGTCAACGGTATTATGTCGAACACATCGATCATTCACACTTTCAAAAATCTCGCTTACGCAGGTACCTGAACGTCTCTGTGACTTTGCTACCAGGACTAACCTTTTCTGTTCTAGAGTAGCATTCAAACAACTACTCGACACCTACTTGCCCAGCCCTTTATTTCACCACCTTTTTGGAGTCTTACATTCGCCTGAATGAGAGATTTTCGCGCTTTCTCTTCCACTTTTGCACTATTCCAGACTATCACTTCCATTGATCGTCAAAAACTAGGCCCTCCAAGATTGTTGTAAACTCTGCTTTCAAGGAATATTCCTTCGTAAAATACAAAATAGTGGGGAAATAGGTTAAAAAGGAGAGCCATTACCTAGTCGACGTGGTTCCAGAACAAAGAAGAGGTTTTTTTTCAATGTTTCATTGCTGATCTTTCAGATTGAGTGGTGGAAAAGTCAGCCAATCAATTCCCTTGGGATAAGAGAAAATCCCTGAGAATAAGACTGCCCACTTGACCCTTAATACTTTTCAACAATAAAAAATCCCAACCAATAGTGGAAGTTAAACAACCTGTGATCATTTGGGGATATGGTTATTATACCGATACTGAGGTGTGTCAGACACCCGCTATGGCCGAAATAAAAGGATTCTTTTTACAATGCTACGACTACAAATTAGAAACACATAAGTTCGGATAACTAGTTTTTAATGAGGTATGATCTTTACAGAGATTAGCCACTAGGACGTGTAAACGAAAGAATGGCGGTATACTGGCTGTCGATGAGGACAAGGAGAAGGACGCCTTTTTGACAAAGTGTAAGCATTCCCTATTTCTCACACTTTGCATTAGTTGCCTGGTGAGGAATTGCAGGGCCAGAAATCGCTCGTGTTTCTATCATCACAAACGATTTGGAAGTAAACTAACCATTAGAACACAAAAGATGGTGATATACATTTTATGCATTTGTGACATCAAAGGCTATTTCCGTCGTTCCCTTATGGATGGGGGTGGGTTTTGAGCGCCACCAGGTAAGGCGCAATACTTGAAGACCAAGTGCCTGCCGACGAACAAAGATGAAAAGAAAAGCATCTTATGGCCAAACATACTGCACCATGGCAGTTCTCGTTTTCGAAAATTCTCCGGTGAAACCAGCTTTGCCTCAGCTTCTCAAAACAGAATGCATTGGCGTGCATAGATATGGATGAAATGTGAAGGCAGATGGAGTGCCTAGAAGTCATCCCACTGCAATCTTCGTGGAGACACCACACCGGACTCTGCGGCCTGGGAAGTGAATAGAACTCCGGACTTTGTTCCGCTCTCTTGCGGCTCAGAGGTTTTTTGAACGAAGTCCCTTGAATACCTCAGATAGCTGATAGTCTGTGTGTCATTTTCGAACTCATACAGCTAAGAACACACTGAACAGCATGCCTGGGCTTACTGTTACTAGAGTTTTGACATATGCTCTAGTAGTGTGACTCTGGTTGATACTTCTCGTGCAAACCTCGAATCGAAACCACTCCTGGATCAGGTTCCTGATGTAGTGGTGTACTAATACAGAACCTGAGATTCGTTACAAAATTCGCTCCTACATACACCAGCAGCCAAAAGCAGAGCCCTAAATACTCCAGCTCAACTGTCCAACCCAAAGGAAAGAGCTTATATGCCAACGGCTAGAAACCATACATAACCAACCATAAAATCTATTTTGCCAGATGACATCTTTTTGCAGGATTATCTGATGGTGTAGCATAAGCATTGGAATGATTGACTTTCATTTACTTCAGTGGTTCTGCCGAATACAAACTTCTGGCTAGGATTGCAATGGAAAGGCAACCAATGGAAGTGGCCTGACGGTAGAACAGTGAGTTACAGAACAATTCTTTTGTCAAGAAGTGAAAGGGAAGATATCGGTTGCTATAGAATTTAGTAAATCAAGTTTATAATGTGTAGAGATTCTAAGAATCGCAAAACTCTCGAGTCCAACTGCGAGTAGATTTTTAAAGCGTTAGTGCTTTTCCGCACCTATGCCCACGCTTGAAGTGATTCACTGATGTAGAGAATTCTAATCGAACCATCGAGTGGTGAACAGATAGATGCAGAAGCATCATGATGACGAGTTTCACAGTCTACTGTTATAATGGAGGCATAGTTCACAGCAGATCTGACTTTTTGAAATTCCTCTCAGGATGACCCTGCGTTTCTCAAGCATAGCACATAGGAATCTGTAGGATCGAAAAGGACCTAGAAAGGAGTAACAAGGCCTACTAAATAGGCTAAAAATTTAAAAAGTGACAGTGGTATGACAACCTTGTAGAAGAAACACATCACAATGAAGCAAAGAGGTTGAGATGCGAACCTCTTACGATTAGTGACTGTGAACTGTGCCTTTGAACATAAAATCATTAATGTTGCATCAGCTTATGAATCACTGATTACACGTCGCGGAAAGGAAAGCTCGACATTTAATTATGAACCGTTTTTCCCGCTTTTTAGAAGTACAAGAATTGTATACCAGCACCATTTGGACTCAATAGTGTAATTCAAAAAAGAAGGCAAACGATCACCATACATACCTCTTCATATTGGTCTTTCGAATATGCGAAAATGAGCAGCATAATCTATTCATACATGTTAACCCTTGAAATGATATGACGGACGAGAGGAGTCAGAGGGAAAACTCTGCATCTAGTCCGTTCACCACGCGGTGATCGGACTAGATGCAGAGTTTTCCATGTGTGGTTTGTGAAGGTAAATGGCTGATTACGCCGACCATCTGCAGCGTGATGAACGAACCCATGTTTTGTACGAGAATTGCGGAACCACATCAACATGCAGACTACGGACCCTTTTAAGGTTGGCGATTTCACAAAGTGGGCGAAAGGACGTCAAACCACAGAAAATGGTGATTGCGTCTACATGCGCAGGAACGGCGATCATGAGTAAGTTCCTTCTAGAATTTTCGTACTATTTCACGAACTATCTGACTTAAAAAGTGTCCAATGATACCACATGATTACCTCTTGGTATTCGCAATTTCAAGCACAAGGAGGAATGAATGATGAACAGAAATAGTTGCAGCTGAGAGGAGTAGAAGAATACTATGGGTGTCCAGTTCTAAGAAGGTACAAAAGAGATGAAGTAACATGGAAAGAATGCAGCTATAAATTTAACATTGAGTTGTGGCTAGGATGAAGTGTGTACACTGGCGCTATCAAAGGCTTGAATAATGAGATTACCCCCTAAAAAAATCACTAGTAGAAATGCTAGGGAAGCAGTGCAAGACGGTAGGTTTAAACAGTTGGAAAGTGTGGGAGAGAGTGTCTCCAAATTTGCATAATATATAAGGTAGTCGATAAAATATGAAAATTTACTAAATCGACCGGCTAAAACTAGCTCTTGTTATTTACCTCGTCCAAGCACCATTAAATCAAAACGTCTCAATCACTCACTGTTTCAGGACTGAATGGTTCTCTGATGAATGCGACAACGACCACTTCCACATATGCCAAACGAAACCATGTGACTCGACAAAATACTGCCCGTTTCAGTTGAGCAACGACGAGCGTGAAATCTAAAAGAATCCATGTGTGCATGAAATAAATGAGTTCAAATTGGCTCAAAAGGAACTTTTAACAATCGAAAGACTCGATAAAATGGCGCTAGATAGCCTCAAAACAAACCATACTTTCTACGCTATCAATAGCCATAATTGTAGTTGAACATCACCCTCGAAGTTCCAAACCGATTCTCACTGTATATAAAGCCTCGCGTCTGTGTGTTTGTCTGTCTCTCCGTCTGTCTGCCTGTCTGTCTGTCTGTCTGTCTCTCCGTCTGTCTATCTGTCTATCTATCTATCTTTCTATCTATCTGTCTACCGATCTGTCTATCTATCCGTCTATCTATCTGTCTATCTATCTGTCTATCTAATCTATCTATCTGTCTATCTATCTGGTGCAGTGATTTCTTCGATTGTCCACGGATGACACTTCACGCTGTAGATCGATCACAAGCCACTCGTTGCTATTTTCGGAAGCAAGAAAGGAATACCTGCCTACAATGCCAACCGTCTTCAGCGATGAGCCACAATGTTACTCAACTACAACTTCGCCATCGAGTATGTCAACACAAAGAATTTCGGACAAGTGGACGCTCTCACGTCTCATAGCGTCGCACTCATCAACGCTGGAGGGCCACGTCATCGCCAACGTTGATGTTGATGTAACCGCAGAACTTATCGAGAACTGTCTTCACCTTCCGGTTTCTGCCGAAACAATCCGGACTGCTACAAGAGCTGATCAGGTCATAAAGAAAATCATCGACTACATCAAGTCTGGAAATTGACCCACGATCAATCGCAACTCTCCTTTCTGGCACTACTACAACCGCCGAGATACTCTTAGGTTGCCGGTTAGTCGACGGTTGCCTACTCACTGCATCTCACATAGTGATACCAAGATCACTACAGCGCCGTGTACTTACGACACTACAAGGCTCATCCGGGACAGAAAAGGATGAAGATGTTAGTACGAAGCTACGTCTACTGGGCAACACTGCATACCGACATCGAACAACTTGTCAGGAATTGTAGCAAATGCGCTTCAGTGGCGCAGAATCCCGTCGAAGGCGAAGTATACTCTTGGCCAAAACCAACCTTCCATGGATCCGTGTGCACGCTGACTTTGCAGGACCCATAAACGGACGATTTTACCTGATAGTTGTGGATGCATACTCCAAATGGCCTGAAATCGCCAGATGTCATCGATATCTCCTACGTCTACTATTCAAGTGTTGGAGGACATTTTCGCAAGCGACATCGGGACGCACTCTACATCTTCGCGGTTCTCCCTGCTCTGCCATTCCCGAGGAAACACGCACAATCGCACACCGCCGTTCCATCCCTATAGCAATGAAAGGCTGAACACATTGCGGATACCTTCAAACGAGGACTCGACAAATTGGGGGGAGGAACCGACAGTTGACGCACTACAGACGTTTCTGATGGGATATCGCTCCACTCCATGCCCGTCTGCACCGGATCAACGCTCATCTGCCGAAGCCTTCCTGGGACGCCGACTGCGAACCAATCTCGACCTGATGCTACCTAAAGAAGACGTCGCTGATGGACCGCGAGACGTCCAAATGGAAACGCAGTTCAACCGAAGACACGGAGCACTACGTCGCAAGTTCGAACACAACGACGCTGTCTACGCCAAAGACTACAGAGGAACTAAACAGACTTGGACTCCAGGTGCCATCATTCGACGTGTTGGAAGCACAACATACCTCGTTCGCTGTGGAAATCTACTATGGACCCGACGCGTGAACCAACTACGACCTAGAAGCGACACAACCACAACTACAAACACTTTTAGATGTGTTCGATCTGCCACTCTTCCACTGTGTGAACAAGGACCACGCACCGCAGACGACTCCGACCGATCCACCAAGACGATCGCAACGCAATCAACGACCGCAACGTCGACTCCAGTTGGATCCCAAGAAATCCCGATACATACAACTTAAGAAGGGAGGTGTTGTAGGGTATTATAAAGCTTATCAATTTTACATGTTATCACAGACATTGCAAACCGCGCATTGTACGTAGCTCTGTTAGAATAATATAGAGAGGTTTTTCCACTGTTTTGCCGTACAGGTTTGTTAAGGAGGAAACCGCTTTATTGGTCAACGTTTCGACAAATCGTCATCTTCAGGACCTGAAAGCAGTTCGGAGCTCCTGATCTGTGGCTTACCCGACCAAGCGCCCAAACGCGCCAGCCCAGTTGCAACAGCTCCCAGAAACTTGAACACTAAAAGATCCGAACCGAGAAACCAACCTTCTGCGGTTCCACCAACGTT